TGCTGTTGATGTGCCTTTAGCGGTAGCAGCAGACCCCATCCGTGAATTGCTTCAACAGCTCCAGCTGCTGCTGCTGCTGCTGCTTCTGCTGCTGCTGCTGCTGCTGCTGCTGCTGATGCTCCTGTTGCTGCTGCTGCTGCTGGTGTGTGTACAGGCGACACGATGTGTGTGACCGTCTCCTCCTCTTCTACGTTGGATAGTGTTGCTGCTGCACCTGCTGCTGCTGTTGGCGCTGCAGTGTATTCAGGCTGCCCCCTTGCAACAGGGGGGACCCCTGCTGCTCCTCCGCTGCTGTCTCCTTCGCCGCCCCCGCGCAGCAGCTCTGCAGCAGCAGCAGCAGCAGATGCAGCAGCAGCAGGTGCAGCAGCAGCAGGCGCAGCAGCAGCAGCAGCAGCAGCAGAAACACCACAGCTGCTGTGGGGGGCCCTCAGTGGGTTTGTCTCCTCTCTTATTCCTCCCTGCCGCATGCGGGTGATTACAGCTTATGGCGACGAGCTGCTGCTGCTGCTGTCTCCTGTGCTGCTGCGTCTGCAGCAACAGAACAGCAGCAGCAGCAGCAACAGCAACAGCAGCAGCAGCACCTTGCTGCAGGTGCGCTATGCAGTCAGGTGTCTTGCGAGCTCTTCGCTGCTGCCTGAGCTGCCGGCGCTGCGGCGTTTTTGCAGCGAGCAGCAGCAGCAGCAGCAGCAACAGCAGCAGCAGCAGCAGCAGCAGCAGCAACGGCCCATCGAGGACCTTGGGGTTTTCAAAGGAGACACAGAAACCCTCAGCGGCAGCAACGCCAGCAGCATGGAGACAGACAGCTGCTGCAGTCCCTCTGTGGTGGGTGGAGACACTCCTGTATCAGCTGCAGCAGCAGCAACAGCAGCAGCAGCAGCAGCAGCAGCAGCAGCAGGAGATACTGAAGCGCCTGCTGCAGCAGCAACAGCAGCAGCAACACGAGGCGGCCTGCTGCTGCGCGGTGTCTCCTCGCTGCCGCAGCAAGCACTAGATATGGCTTGGGCAGCAGATACAGGTTTGCTGCTGCTGTGGGGTGGAGACGGGCTGCGTGTTGGTGTGTCTCCGCTGCTGTCTCTACAGTCAGCGCCGCTGCAGCAGCAGCAGCAGCANGCTGCAGCAGCAGCAGCAGCAGCAAAAGCTACCCTTTGTATGCAACACAGAACACGCCACACAAATGCCCAGAGTCTCCTGGGCCTCCTTCCTCCCCTCATCGTTCCTTTCGCTGCTGCAGCAGCAAAAGCAGCAGCAGCAGCAGCACTTGCTGCAGCTGCAGCAGCAGCAGCAGCAGCAGCAGCATTGGGTGGACAGGTTTCTGTTGGCTCCTACGGGGCGATTGCCTCTGCTGCTGTGTGCAACAGCAGATGCGCAGCAGCTGCTGCTGCTGCAGGTTGATGCTGCTTCGTCCGTGCTTGGAGTGCAGCAGCTGCAGCTGCTGCTGCTGCAGCAGCAGCAGCAGCAAGAGGAGAACGAAGATATCTTCCCAGGCCTGAATATGGAGGCTGTGGCGGGTATCTTCAGAACACCGCAGCAGCAGCAGCAGCAGCAGCGGCAGCACTCGCACCACCTGTACTCACAGCAGCAGCAGCAGCAGCAGAAGCAGGCGGTGCTGCTTGCTGCTCAAGTCGTTGAGCTGCCTGCCCCCGTAGCCTTTCCGCAGGCAGTGACATCTGTGCTGCTGCTGCTGACTGCTGCGCTGCCTGATGCTGCTCCTCCGAGGCAGCAGCAGCAGCAGCACCAGCACCAGCACCACCAGCAGCAGCAGCAGCAGCAGCAGACAGCCGTGCTGACCCCGTGGCTGCTGGCCTTCGCGGTCGATTCCCGCTGCTGTGTAGTACACGAGCAGCAGCAGCAGCAGCAGCAGCAGCAGCAGCCCAGCGCTGGATTTGGTTTAGGATTGTCTTTGATAGGAGCCTGGAGAGACACGCGCTGCACTGCAGCAGCAGCAGCAGCAGCAGCAGCAGTAGCAGCAGCAGCAGCAGTACCTGCTGCTTCACGTGTGAGAAGCTGCACATTTATTAGAGAGGGGCATCAGCTGCTGCTGCAGCAGCAAACAGCTGCTGCTGTCTTAACCCCGGACCGCCTCATTGTTGCTTCGCCGCTGTGGCTGCAGGAGCAGCAGGACGACGTGCAGCAGCAGCAGCAGCAGCAGCAGCAGC